TAATGTACATACATACGTACAAATTGAACTATTTCATGACAAATTCCCTAACATCCTTCGAAACTTAAAATCATGTTTGTATTATTACCTAAATATTGAATTAATGTAGGTTTAATAAGTTACGAGGTGTGTTCAAAAAGTATCGTGAATTTTATGTTTTTTCAAAAATTATTTATTTATTCATGAATATCTATTTTGCCCCTTACAGGTAATCCTCATGAGTTATTATACACTTCTGCCAACGGTTTTTCCAATCTTCGAAGTACTTCAAAACATGATTTTTTTTTTATCTTCTTCAGCTCCTCCTTCGATGCCGTCTTTATCTCGTCAAGAGAAGCGTAATGGAAGACATACACGTACCAATTATTGTACCAATTTCATCGAGTTGTACAACTGATTGTTACGTGTATGGGGCAGTTGTATGAGTTGTGGCAACTGGTTGGATGAATATCAAAAATTTGTGATATTTTGGCAAGTTGGTTGTGTTAGTTGGATRGTGTTTGGGTTGGTAGTGCGATTTCAAATGATTTCGCCATTTTATTTCTGCTGTCAAAGAGCGCGGGTCTACGGAGCAAAGAACAAATAAAAATGAGTGAAAGCGATCGGCAATTGCGTGAATTTATCGAAATATATAAAACTATGCTGGAATTGTGGAACACCAAACTGGACTGTTACAAAAACCAAAAATGTACGCAGTAGAAGCTACCAAAAACTTTTACTAGAATATAAAAAAGTAAAAAGCGATGCGTCGATAGACGACATGTTAAAAAACTGTCAAATATACGTACTTGCTATCGCCGGGAGCTGAAGAAAACTTTGCAAAGTCAGACATCTGGTGCAGGAGCTGATGAGTTATACGTTTCACCTCTATGGTATGGTATGCCTGTTGTAACATCCATCAGTTCGGATGAAGATGAAGAAGYGTCCGTWCGCGTAGTAAGTTGAAGAAACATTTAAAAGTTTTATTGATTTTATTTATGAGATTATGTTTTTTTACASAGCAATCGTCGAAGAAATTTAAAAAAGTGGTTACCGAAAGAACGGAGTTTCTAAAGAAAGCAACCGAGCATTTGGAGACATCCAAAAAAAACGAGTGGATGAAGCAGACACTTACGYAAAGGCATGGGCTTGCATGTTCAGGCAAATGAAACCAGAGCAGCAACTTTTTGCAAAGCAAGCAGTAGACGAAGTAATGCTGCTGGGCCGATTTGGAAAATTATGTTTCAATTATCTGAACAGTCCTTCAAGCTYACCAAATTTAAGTAGTCCGCATGTATCACGAACCAGCTCGCCTTTTTTAAGTAATGACTCGCAACATTATATTTCGTCACCTTCTGTAAGCCCAACTGAATCAACATCACGCTCGGCACATTTTATTTCTGTACCAACTGGAAGTCCTATAGAATCCACATCACATTCTCAACGTTTCATTTCTGTGCCAACTGGAAGCCCCATACAACCAACATCACATTCACAACGTTTTATTGCTGTGCCAACGAGAAGTCCTMTAGAACCAACATCACATTCGCAACGTTTTATTTCTTTKCCAACTGGAAGCCCCATACAATCAACTTCACAAACAATTGAAATAACTATAGAGCTACACTTTTCAGATGCAAACGACAGTCAATATACAAGTGTTCTTGATTTGTTTAATGACTCGCAATATCAACGAAATAAGACATATTRAGATAGAGTACATATATTTTATTTTATTTTTCTAATTTTTGTTTAAATTATTTTTTAGTTAATTATTTATGTATTAGTTTTAATAGAATGAGTATAAGTTTTATTTAAAGAACACAACTAATTTAACTATTTTATATGTAAATAAAAGGAATTAAAAAGATTTCAGTTTTTTGATAATTTCACAATATTTAAACCATATTGTTTTGGCCTCATTAGATGCATTTCTAGTCAGCGTTGGTTCGATGTCTGATAGCTGAATCGATTTGAGTTTGACTGGCGCCCTAAGTAGTTGTATAAGTACCAACAGGCAAGAACAACAGYAGTAACTTTTTCAGGACATAAATTTATTGTCGTTTGAAGAAGTCGAAAACGCGATGCCAAAATACCAAAAGCGTTTTCAACTTTAACTCGTGCTGAGCTTAGAGTTTTGTTAAAGAGCATTTCATTCTCTGTCAAATTGGTGTGACCAAATGGTTTTAAAACATTTTTCCTTAAAGCGAAAGCCGCATCCRACACAAACACAAAGGGGAGTGGATCTTCGTCTGCCAGCACTGCTTGTGGTTCCAGTAAATTTAAACTTCCACTTTCTAACTTTTTAAAACATTTCGGATTTCCGAAAACGCCTTCATCGGAAATTCGTCCATTTGCACCTACATCTATCATTAAAAAGTTGGAGTGGATGTCAACAATTACCAACAAAACAATACTGAATGTCTTTTTATAATTCAAATAGAATGAACCGGAGTTAGGAGGACGTGAAATATTTATGTGCTTTCCAAAGAGCGCGCCTAAACAGTTGGGAAACATCGACTTCTCATAAAATTGATCAGCTACAGCCATCCATTGCTCAGGTGTTTTAGGAAGCTAAAAATATATTTTGTGTTAAATAAAATGTATAACTCGGATATTCTTTTAATACTACCTTAATTGAGTCTTTTAGAACTTTTGTAATGGCCTCGCATGTCTCAATTACAATTTTACCAATCGCYTGCGCAGATATTGCGGTTGAAAAYTTTAGGTCTTCAAATGAGTTTCCGGTAGCCAAAAATCTTAAAGTTATTGCCAAACGATTCTCTGCACTAATTGCTTCTCGCATTATTGTGTCTTTTTTTTTTCAATAAAAACTTTCACTTTCAAGAGAAGATCAGMAAACACTTCATCGCTCATGCGCATGTAATTCTTGTAGTCCTTTGGATCGGTTTCTCTCAACGTCTTCAAAAGCTTGTTATTAGAAAATTCATTTTTATTTTGCAACCACATTTTAGACTATTTTCTTTTTTTGTTGTTTTTGGCCAAAAAGTCGCGCACAAGCAACGATGTGTGAGCAGGGGCGTTATCGTGGTGCAAAAGCCAATTTTTGTCACATCTTCTCGGCCTTCTGAGAACATTTTGTACCACCGATAAACGTTGCTTCGGTCCAAGGTAGCTTCTCCGTATGCCACAGTCAACATTCCGAATGCATCCGCGCACTTAATTTCGTTTTTCWAACAAAATTTGATACAGGCTCTTTGATCCATTTTTTGAATAGGTAAAAACGCAAGACGATCCAAAACACGTGCAAGCAAAGCAGCTGTCAACAATTAAATGAACATTCAAAATGGCCGAGCTTGTCGGCAKAVGKGAGAGACATGAGTACCAACATAACGCCACAAAAAATTCGAAATTCGAATATACGAAACCCGCGTAAATTCAAAATTCGCGATACTTTTTGAACACACCTCGTATATATTTATTTGCTGGGCATTGTATGCTTGATAACATATTAAAAGACTAAGCGGTCGCACATATTCACGTATGTACTTATGTTTGTAATTGAACAATTTTTTGCCAAATTTGCAAACAAAAGTACTAATCATTTTCACTATTGGTATCCGTAAATAAAAATGCGTACGGATGTAAACACAACGTGAAAGTCTAYAAACACCTTACAAAACAAGATGCAGTCAGACCTTGGAACTTCTGATCTCATTAGAGGGAGGGTGGTACATAAAGACAACCTTAAATAGTGGTTGCTTTCAAGTAAAAACTTTCCCATAATTTAAGCGCACAACGATTTTCAATCTTCATTTCTTTTATTTTTAGGGGTAGTACATAGTCGGATTATCGACGGATAACTCCAACTATATCGCGGTAATCGACAGAAAAGTACTGGTATTGGAGCAGCATGATTATTTAAGACACTCAACCAATTTAACAGACCTTGCTAACATAGCAAAGGAAACTATAAATTTAACCAAATTATTTCCTCAGTCCCACATACGAAAACTGCTAGACGAGGATACACAACACGTTAGAAATTTATTGTCCGTACTGAAAGTGAACCACAGAATGGCAAGTAGCTTAGACCTCTTGGCTCAGCACTCACGATAATAGCAGGCACACGCCTGATGCCTCTGATTTTGAAAAAGTAAGGTGGTCCGAATTCAATTTAATTGATGCAAACAATAGRCCGGTAGTTATTAATACACAAACACAGATACAAATTAATAAACTTACTGATACGGTGAACCAAGTAATTAAAGCTAAAAACAATGAATTTGTTGACACAATGCATTTGTATGAAACACTATTAGAAAAGAATAGAATATTAATAGATCAAATATCGAACTTGATACTCACAAATACGCTAGCTAAGGTGAATATAACAAATCCCACTATTTTTGACCATGGTGATTTGAAATCAATTATGAATGAACACCCTGTCGGAATTCGCATAGTTAGCCTAACCGAAGCATCTAACGTTAAGGTTCTCCAGTCCGAGAATATTGTCCATATATTAATAGCGTACCCCAGGGTCAAGCTTGTCTGTAAGAAAATCACCATCTTCAAAGACGAGTTGGAGGCCAGATCACATAAGGTTTGGTTTGCTGCAGGTATCTTTCTCAGTGTTGTTGGCATTGGCTTTATCATCGTTTGGCAAATCATAAAAGGAAGACAAACGTCGAAGTACGGAAGGCCATCAACAGCTACAAAACAACGGGGGACGGTCATGAGCTTGAGGGGGAGTAGTTGAAACGTAATAATTGCACTTTTTGTTTGTGATATGCAAGAATGATGCAATGCACATTGTTTACATTGCAACATTCTGCTGACGCATAATTTTGTTGCCCAGCCACTGCAGCCAACAGCGGTATCCCGACACTTGCCTATGTCGCAAGCAACTGTGTCAGCGTATGCTGATTCGGCTTGCCGATTATAGTAACGCACACTTATGATTTTAGGTTCCATAATATTTTAGTGTTCAATATTAAGTTCATTTTGTATTTTGTATTTAATCTATAATATACGTACTTGCTCCGGCCTCGCCGTTACAACATTGCCATCTTATTTGACTCTGAAAGTACAATAACATAATCGTCAGAGGATACAACATAATTCCGTTAGAACATACACACATCATTAATGACCGCAAGCGCACTTTCAACAGACAAACTCGCTTCATTCATAAAAGCAGACACTATCACATCTACCCGAATATGCGTTTGCCAACAAGCGTCTTTTCGCGACGATAGCAAAAGCTAAAAATTATAAATTGAACAGTTTCTAATGATTCTTCTAGAAGGAAAAAGTGTCAACGCCACAAACCCGCAAAGCACAGAAATAAGTGACAAAGTTGTCAACATAGTTCTTGTCGATTTAAAATATTTTTCCTCGCCTCCCAAAAATCTGCGTCGATATGTATGCAAGCTCATAGAGAAACATACATATACATATGAAGGAAGGGAAGAGGTGACAACACAGCTCGATTTTTTTCCAAGAACACAATGTTATGACGCTTTGTCGTCGCGTCAGYTCTACGACACATTGACTCTTTGACAAAGCGTGAGCCATTAGTTGTCCGTGGCAATGTAGATTTCGCGTGAAACAATGAGTGTACATGTTCTTTTTGTTTACATGCACACATAATTACATAAGTACGTGAATATGTGCGATCGCTTAGTCTTTTAATATGTTACCAAACATACAATGCCCAGCAAATAAATATATAAATTAATTAATCTACATTAATAGCGGGATTCTGTAACTAGTCTCTATTTGAGACATTTTGAGGTAATGCCTCACTTTGTGACTAGTTACTATTCACTAAACAGTCTCTAGCGTTAGTCTCAAAACATTGCCTGAATTTTTAGACCTAATAGTTAGCAGGTCGCAAAACTAAAAAGAACTCTTATTAGCCATTTTGAATATACTGAATAGAGGTCATCATAGTAGATATTAATCGATTGTCGTTTTTTTATAGTTGGTAAGCAACTCAAACACGACAGAATCACACGGTAAGTAAATATTTACGTTTATACATGCTTGTGAGCTTTGATATATATATACAATTTTTATACATAGACATATACAGTGTTTAAAAAACTGCAGCAAGTTTCATTTCATGTGATTTTGCTTCTGCTTCTGCTTCTGAAAAAAACAGAAGTCGCAGTCGAAGCAAAAGCAGAAAGCGATCGTCGACGAAAAGCGAATCAGCAGCAGCAGACGCCGTGTAAAAAGTTTTGAYTTTGCTTTGCTGCTGCTTTCGCTAAGCAACGCAAGTCGAAGCAGCAGCAGTCGCCGTTTGAAAATTTTTGATTTTKCTTTGCTGCTGCTTTCGTTCTGCAAGTCGCTGCATGTCGCAGTCGCGACTACTGTCGAAACTACTGTCGCGTCTGAATTTTTCTGCGTATACTGTTTGATTGATTCTTGTGCATCAGTATCAATTGAAACAAGTTCGATACAGGAGCTTAATTGTTTAACTATGGCGCAAAGTGATATTTGGATGTATTTCGAGAATAATGTTGATGGAGGCATAGCTACATGTAAAACATGTRCAAATAAACTAAAAAATAATAGACTTTCCAATTTAAAAACTCATTTACTTAATTTACACAAAATAAATTTAAATGCTRCAAGYGTTGAACAGTTAGAAACGTCGTCGTCGTCAAATTYCTCCATTCAACTCGGTCGTTGTGACTCTTCGGGTTGGACAAAGCTTTGACAGTATCCCAAAGCTTACTCACACCGGCGGAGARGTTGCAGGACTTCATATGCTCTATCCATTTCGTCCGCTTATGCTGGTTTACCATACTCGAATCTCTAAATTGAGATCCCTTATTCGGGGATCCCCGGGATCGGCATGGCGTAAGGTGTCGCGCTCATTAGCTAAACCGGCTGCTTCGGCTGGGAAGTTGGGGCGGATTTCCGCTATTCGTCCAGCTGGTATGAAGCGAGCGGTAGCTGCTGCGATC